CCTCACGCATTCTTTGCAACGTACTTCTAGAAGTATTACGTACGCCCTGCTCGATACTTCCCACTTTGACCACCAGATCGCAGCAACTCAGTCTCTACCTTTTGATTTTCGTCATCAGTCATTTTGTTATCACAGCTTGTAGGAAATTCAAAAGTGCGATTTTGAGGTCGTGCAGAAAAGCACAATCCCCGCATTAAATTTAATCTAAATCCGTGAACTGGTTCTTGAATTTAACACGGTTAGCCCATAATGCGTCCTCTCTATGCACTTCGTGCAAAGAACGTTATGCTAATAACAACGTAAACTAGTGTATTAGTGTGTCCTGTGACAAATACGTAAATTATCGTGTTACTAAAAATCTTGTACTGACATCAGTAAACTTTGCGGCGAAAATGTTGGTGAAATCTTGGGAGACTACTATGTTCTTTTTTTGACAGACTAGTGGCTAGGAGTCTGTGTGCATCCGCAAGGCCGTGCGACCGATCGTCTCGATACACGTTGTCTTGTTTTTCCTCTGTCTTTCAGCAAATACTGAGACATTTTTCAAGTTACAAGTTGTTACGTTATGCCCTCCTGATTTAAATCAACCAAAATTTCCCTCTTGCTGTGGAGGCCACAAAATTGTATTGTTCAAAAGCATTATTTCGCTATGCAATAAATCAAAATGTTTGCTCTTTTCCCCACTAATGCCTTTCCTCCTATTCTACTTTTATCGGAAGGACGCTCTGGCAAAATCTGGGAACCTTCTGACAGAACTATTCTCTTTCTTCGTCCAGAAATAACAGAAATAATTACAACAGTGTATGCACCTTGCCAAATAATGCTCATTGTGCAAGCGAGTTCATGATTGAACTAAGAGAACGCGGTGATATTAAATTTCTTGTTCAGAGGAATTATTCCACACGGCAGTATATAAAAAATACGTTCACATGTTTTAAAATTTTATAATAATAACAAAATAATAAACAAGTATATTGGTGTATAATCAGACATATTCACGAAGTACTAATCCCATCAGGCAGCAGCGTGGAAAGTGAGTAATAAATATGTGTAGTCGTCATAAAAAATAATTGTTTTTGAATACTTTATTGAGTTCTACTTTAAGAAAATTGTAGTATCAGCAACAGAAATAAACCTACATAATTTGTTTGGTATGTACAGTTTCAAGAAGTAGAATGTTAAAATATTTCATGTCACAAGAATATCTCGCGCTCGTTTCATTGAAAAACACAAGTTGGGTTTTTCACTGTAAATATAATATTTCTGGCAAAGTTCCTAGTTCAATGGCCAGTATGAAATAAAGAAAATGAAGACCAAATCATGACATGAATTAAGGGAGACCTCTTATGCCCACATATATTGAAGATTTCAGTGCTGTCAGTCTTTAAAAGTTTTTCTTTTGTAGACAATTTAAATTTTTAATCCAACGGCGGAACGCATTTCAACTCCTGGGTTAAGAACTGGACTTATACGTGGATGGTCACATATCGATTCCTTAGTCATCATGTATTAATGCTGTTAGGAAAATCGCTTTTGGCAACCCATCAATACAAAATGTAGCGTTGCTGATAGCTGCAGCTAGGACCTCTGAAACGTCGGAAAAACTTTAATCAGACTACATGGCGCAACAACCCAGAAGTCAGCCATCTTCAGACTCACCGCCACGAAAACCTCAAATCTTAACTGATTTTTGCAGATGGTAGCGACATTCAGCATTGCAGGTTTAATCTTAATAATTAAACTGACTCCGACTACGTCAGAGGGACTTCGTCTATGACAACTTACGCTGAACTGTGACATGAGAGAGCGAGAAAGAAGAATTGAGTCTCTGCTAGGGCTCTGCGCGTCACAGCACGGAGAAATGACAAAGCCAGCAGGAGTTCTCGCACTGTTAATGAATTGTATGGTAGACCTACTTTGTTTTTATTTTCGTCCAGATCGGTTCAGAGTAGATTGTCGAGTAACGGCTCATTGGGACCGGATCGTTAGCTCTTAGTCGAAAATCTGGTAATGACGCATATTTTGTCGTCGAATAGTCACTCTACTTATTAAATTGTAGAACGGAACGTTTATCTGTGCAGAAGGAGATTGCTACTGCACGTAATGGAGAGTAACTTCGAAACTTTGCTCGCTACTTGAGATATCTTCGGCTGTAGAGGCCTATTAATCGTCTGTGTCGTCAGAATATTGTTTCCCTGCCATTAGCAATGGTCACTGCCTGTATATCGTCCGTCGTCTTATTGTATGAGGAATCATCAGCCTTGAACCATTTGATTGTTATAAGCTAAGTATCGTATAATAACCCATTCAAAGTTGATGGGAATAAAACTTATTTGCATTAAATAGTAATACAATTTCTTGCAGCATTACATTTGCAAATAGCATTCAAGTAGCTGCAAAATTTATTAAAAAATTTTCATAAAGTAAAATAAATTAAAATAAATCAAGTTAGATTCTTGATATACCCACTAAATTCCTGTCAGACTCCACCATAGGCGCCACCATAGCCTCGTTTGCATTTGTTTTTGAAGAGTTGCCACCGTTAGAACCTAATTTCAACCTTTTCTGCGTCGCACTAATGTCGTATGTCGTGAACAACATCGGCTGTACAATTAGGAGTGGATTATTGTAATAACTGTAACTGAGGAAACTCGTAGAAAAATAGCCATGAAACTGGACAACAGACTAAGGTGGTGTTTATTATGTTTTAATGGAAACTTTACCAGAGGTACCACATAAACTTGTACCTACTTTATTTATTCTGTCGATAGGTTTTCGTGATATGTGATATAATCTACCTACTGACTTATTGTTATAGAATATTAGAATGTAAAAGTTGTAGTCACATTAATTTAATAATATTTTACGTTCTATATGACGATAAAAAAGCAGTTATGGGTGTATCTCGCTCTTTTGAAACAAAAGTGGTTCCAGTAAAATTTATACGTTTCTGTAAAAATGAGCATAAGTTTGATTTAAAGCTTAATTAGTCTAAGAAAATCACTGGTATTTTAGAATGTCTAATAAGTGTTCGTCATTGAAAGCGTTATCCAAGCATCTGCGCTCGCCCAGTTATCTGCCGTTATACGAAAGACAAGAAGTCAGGTTTCAGTGTGTGAATTAAATTAATCTAACAAAGGATACGGTTCAGTGTTAGTTCTTATGAATAAGATCATGAACCTTCTAGAGTTGTTTGACTAGATTAGCTACTAATAGCTTCTCTATTCTATGGTGTTAGTAGTAACAGATGTCTTTTTAACCCTGTGACATTTCAGGTTCTCGCAGCGATGGATATTAATGGCTTGTCTTCCTGGATGTTGCGCCGTGTAGTCTTGTATGGAATCATCAGCCTTGAACCATTTGATTGTTATAAGCTAAGTATCGTATAATAACCCATTCAAAGTTGATGGGAATAAAACTTATTTGCATTAAATAGTAATACAATTTCTTGCAGCATTACATTTGCAAATAGCATTCAAGTAGCTGCAAAATTTATTAAAAAATTTTCATAAAGTAAAATAAATTAAAATAAATCAAGTTAGATTCTTGATATACCCACTAAATTCCTGTCAGACTCCACCATAGGCGCCACCATAGCCTCGTTTGCATTTGTTTTTGAAGAGTTGCCACCGTTAGAACCTAATTTCAACCTTTTCTGCGTCGCACTAATGTCGTATGTCGTGAACAACATCGGCTGTACAATTAGGAGTGGATTATTGTAATAACTGTAACTGAGGAAACTCGTAGAAAAATAGCCATGAAACTGGACAACAGACTAAGGTGGTGTTTATTATGTTTTAATGGAAACTTTACCAGAGGTACCACATAAACTTGTACCTACTTTATTTATTCTGTCGATAGGTTTTCGTGATATGTGATATAATCTACCTACTGACTTATTGTTATAGAATATTAGAATGTAAAAGTTGTAGTCACATTAATTTAATAATATTTTACGTTCTATATGACGATAAAAAAGCAGTTATGGGTGTATCTCGCTCTTTTGAAACAAAAGTGGTTCCAGTAAAATTTATACGTTTCTGTAAAAATGAGCATAAGTTTGATTTAAAGCTTAATTAGTCTAAGAAAATCACTGGTATTTTAGAATGTCTAATAAGTGTTCGTCATTGAAAGCGTTATCCAAGCATCTGCGCTCGCCCAGTTATCTGCCGTTATACGAAAGACAAGAAGTCAGGTTTCAGTGTGTGAATTAAATTAATCTAACAAAGGATACGGTTCAGTGTTAGTTCTTATGAATAAGATCATGAACCTTCTAGAGTTGTTTGACTAGATTAGCTACTAATAGCTTCTCTATTCTATGGTGTTAGTAGTAACAGATGTCTTTTTAACCCTGTGACATTTCAGGTTCTCGCAGCGATGGATATTAATGGCTTGTCTTCCTGGATGTTGCGCCGTGTAGTCTTGTATAAATTGACGGACGTTTCAGAGGTGCTTACTGCAGGGCAGCGTTTGCCTGTTGTATAGCGTAGGAGCTTGGGTAATGCTTTCGATGGCGTACACTTATATATTTTATTATACTAGTACTTTTTTCAGAATAGGTATTTTTTTACGAAACTTGTACTTTTATTTGAATCCATTTTAATTAATGATATCAAAATACACCCAAAAATTCATTTTTAATTTAATATGGAATTTTAAAAACGCTTATATTAATGTGAGCATATCTTATAGGCTCTACATTTTAATATTATATAACAGGAAATCAGGGTGGTGACAATATCCATTTTCTTTTCATTACGATAACAAAATGACCTATTTCCCACACACAAATTGTTGCTAGCCCAGGGCAGGGGGTAGCAATGAGGCACCGCTTTAGGACCCATCGAGGCTCCTGAGGCTCGTTGGACTGACCACTAAACTGAGTCTAGTTCTGAGGTAGCGTTTATCTTCACGACCTCCCATGGCGTGGTGCTTAGACACGGGGGAAGCTTCAAATTACGTCAGATATGCTCCTCTTGAGCCACTCTTGCAGCGAGTCTTGAGTTTCGCACGCGTCCCAAAATGGAGCGATGCGGTGGGGCGAGGGCGACTGGAGCCTGGAGCGAACGCCACCCTCCACAGTCCGTCCCGGCACGCCACGCTGACTGGTCGCCGCTCGACTCCTGTCTTTTGCAACACCAGGTGGGTACTGCTGTGTATGGCTGTGATACTCGCTGAGGAGGGAGGCGTTACATAACGAGGACCTCAGTTACTTGGTCACTTAACGAATTATTCACAGGTAAATCGAAACAAAACAGGGGAGAATGGCCCTCGCGCTGGTAAAATAGTAAATTCTTAGGCCTATAAAATTTTGGAATGGAAATCCAAAGGTATAAAACTATATATCCGGAATTATTGGAACGATAATATTAAAATGCATATTGAAATAAGATTTAGATTTCCAAGCTTGTCGGTTTATTTTACATCAAGTCTATTAATTCTAACTATTAAGACTACAGTAATGAAGTCGTATTCAAGTTATGATCACAGGAAGCAATAAGCTCTAACGGAAAACATTCATAACAAATTATGCCTACGCGTCATTTAAGATAAATACGGGTTGGCTGGGAGTTGAGGATTGATTTCGAACCATGAATTTGGATAGGTTGTCTAAAACACAGCGAAGTGCCATCTTGTGTCGGTCATTGAGTTTACGGGACAAATTGACGTACTTGTTTTTGATCACCGTGCATTTCGAACTAATTGGTCGCGCCGTGTGTCTGTCAGTGACTCTTTGTGACGTAGATGGTTCTACATGGGTGTGAATCTTGGCTTGTAATGAAAAGGAAACGAAACATTTGGGTATCGTGAAAATATTTGCTAGGAAGAATATGACAGAAAATTAGCAGAGGAATGGGGACAATTAGAAAATTACGAACTTTGTACTCTGTATCTTTATCTTGTGTTGCCTCTAATATGGACAGAGCGTTATTTCAGAGTAAGCCTTCTGAAAAGTGTTGTTGAGTAGTAAAAGTAAGCTCAAATATTCGGGAAGTCCAGTGTCAAATCAGAATTACTTTCACGAGTAAATTAGAAGCCAAAGCTTATTTAAATACATTTAAGAATTCTGTCCGTACCGCAAAGAAAATACAACAGTTTATTGTTACAAAGGTCAATTTATTAATGCTATTTAACGAAAATCACTGTTTGCATTAATAATCATAAAAAGGCCCACTAATACAAAATGGAAAATTGCTGTTGGTTGCAGCACCTAGCTCGTATAATTAACGTTCGGGTTTAAGGGGTTACGTTTAGGGAATGCAGTTAAGAATCTTCTCTCCTCCCGTCCGCTATCCAAAAGCGTAAAGATAAACTCTTTCGTGTGTTGCCTGTTGTTTTGTTTGGGTGTGAAACTAGTTCAGGGAAGAACACAGACTAAGAATGTCTGAGAAAAGGGTACTGAGGAAAATATTTGTACCTAAGACTAATGATGTTACAGGGCTGGAGAAATTTCACGCGAGGAGTTTCATAATTTGTACTCTCTTTTCACAAATTATTAATATGGTAATAAAGTCAAAGAGAATGAAATGGACTGGGCATTTAGCAAACATGAGGAATATGGGAAATGCGTACAAGAGTTTAGTTAGAACGCCTGAATTAAAGTGGCCACTCGGAAGACTTAGGCATACATGGTAGGATTTAAAGATGGCTATCTTCCGGGTTGTAGCACCGTGTAGTCTGGTAGAAGTTTACCGGCGTTTCAGAGGTCCTTGCTGCCTCTATCAACAGGGCAAAGACAGCCATCTTCAGACTCACCACTGTAGAAACATCAAATTTTACTTGGTAAGATAATATTAAAGTGAATCTTAAGGAAATAAGTTGAGAGGGTATGTGATGGTCTTAACCGGCTCAGGTTAGGTACCAGTGGTGGGCTTTTGTGAACACGGTAATGAACCATAAATGGCGGAGGATTGCTTTAATAGCAGAAAGTATCTCAGCTTCACAAGAACGGTTCTGTTACTTTATAAAACATTTAATTTTCCTATGAAGACGTGTTTGAGCCAAAGCCAAGATATGGAAAAGCTGTGCCGATCAGACGTTATGTTTACGGGATTAATTTCGAACACTACTGAATAAATATAGATTCAAGTTTTAATTGTTAGTATATATTAAATGCCGTTTGGAAAATTTCATTATAGTTGCAGCCTCGAATAAAATGCCTTCCTAAGTGCATACGTACCAATCAGTATCGTAACTATGGCCGGAAAGATTCGCCATGAACATTGGAATAGTGAGTTCAATCCGATTCGAGGCATCGATATAAGCTCACGTCCTATCAAAGAAGTCATACTGTATATCTAAAAGAATTAATTATTTCAGAAGTAATTCTGAATTATAATACAATGAGGATTATTCCAGAGAAAGTCCTTCGGAGAAGACGTAGGCCAAAGTCATGCTCCGATAAATAAAAACAGTTTATTTTAAGAAAGAAATTTTTTTAAGAATAATCGACTCGGATGTAATAATTGGGTTACCGCAGCGGTATTTGTAGGTGCTGAAGTATGATCTCTGGCTTTCGATTACCTGTCCCGATTGACTTTTTGTTTGTTCCTTTAGTT